CACTCCTTGGAAACTCTATATAGGGTTACAATACAGAGAACCAACTCAACGGCACTCAACAATGCAACAACAACAAATTCCTTTAGTATACCTTCCTCATTCTAGCAAAAGTTCTTAAGGAGGTAACTACATCACTGTTGTAGCATCTCTAAACAAATATCTTCTAGTCTTCTGGGCTACATGTGAAATGGAGTTCACTTGACTTTCCTCCAGAAAGATTCTGTAGTGAAATGACAATTTTAATTTTTATGTTTATATTAAATAAATTTGCCTTTTAGCCATCTATCCTCAATGCAAATACCTTCATTCATCCAGTTAGCATTATTATACCTCTGTTGTTGTTGGTTTCTGCTGAGGAATTTTCTTCATTTTCACCCAACCATCAATCCTCAAATTTTTTTCAACAGTCACAATATGTCTGAAATAGACCAGACAGAACATAACGTGAGAAAGAGAACTGAGTTTATGTTTATAAAACTTTTCCAGAGAGAAATGAATTATTTCTTCACTTTTACCAGAAATTCTAGAAATTTTCTAATGCTCACAAATGGTATTAATTTTATTATCATGTTATAAATATTCTGCAACGAGAGAATAATCTTCTGTTGAATGCAGTATATGCTGTAGGCAAGGACAGCTATGTGATTGATTGTGAAGGAGGACCTGTTTGTCCAAGTCATACTTGTGATGGACACCACAGCTTCATCCTGGTTGTGACATCCTTGATGAGCACTTCTATGGGCTTTCCCTTCTTTCAGCAATATTGAAGAAATATTTTTAGACACCTCAAATAGGCATTAAAGGGAAATTTGCAACAGAAGAAAATAAAACTCAAAAGTATCATCCCTCCTATCAAAGTGTTTTTTATTCTAATTGAGAGAGTAAAGGATTCACCCGGTGAGAAGGTTTTACAAGGCCACGACCTCCTTTTTTAGTAGTGGAAGTAAAGGGGAACATTAGCAGGTTAAATCAGCTTGTCACTACAACCTTTGATCTTCATTCTAGGATGTTCTTTTCTATTTTCTTTTAAGTTCTCTAGTTTATAATCTTTAGCATTTTCCCATAAACTTTTATCAAATGTATGTAGCTTGTGTGTGGCTTATCTTTCATCTTAGTCCTCCTCTATCAATCATACAAATATCAAAATTATGTAAATCCTTCATAGCAACCACATAGAAGATTATAATCAAATAAGTACCTGCATCTTATCATGAAATTGATAAGAAAACACAAAAGGCTCTGAAGCCAAATCTTGGAGCAGCTCCAGCTGCAGAACATTATTATTATACAACATTATTACTTTAGCGAGAAATCAGAATAACCTCAATTCTAACCGATTCTAAATGAATTGGTGCATTAATATCTAAATTCACTTTATAACAATTTACTCAGCATCTACTCTCTGGCAGTCACTTTTCTAAGGATAAAGTGAGTAGACAAAACAAAGTCCTTGCTTTCTGTGGAACTTGCATCATGTGAAGGGAAACAAAATAAATAGCTATTTAATAAATCATCAGTGTGGAATGCTATAAAAGATGAACGTAGGTAAGGGAATAAAGAGTAACGGCGTGGCACTTTAAATAGAATGGTCAGAATCTTTGAAAATGTAGCATTTGAAGGTTAAAATGCATAAAATTACAAACATTTGGAGGAAAAGTCATGCCATCTAAAGAGTAAAAATGTGAAGATATAGATCAAGTTCATGAAAACTATATTATAGCAATGTTTGGAATCCTGTTGTGACTTAACCTTATTATTTGATATCATTTAAATGTAGTAAGTAAATACTCTTTAAAAAATAAGTAAGTAGTAAACTTTGGCATTGTTTAGACTTTCCCAAAATCAAGGTAAGAAATGTCTTGTTAGCCTCAATAAACTCCTTATTGAAAGATTCTATGTCTTAAGTTTGCTTCTGCTAAACAAACCACTATTCCAGATAACCCATTCCATCTTCTTGACAGTCTGTGAAGTTAGGTGAATATAGTGATTCTTCATTTGACAAATCAGAGTTCTTGGGTGGTATTAAAAGTAAATGTCCTTGACTTCTAACAGAAAGGTTGAAGATTCAAGTCCACTCAGAAGCGCCTTGGAAGAAAGGTTTGGCAATCTACATTAGAAACAATAGCCACTGAAAATGCAGTGGAGCATAGTTCTACATAGTCAACTCTGGCAAATGGTTACACTAGTGCCAAAGGATGCTGCAGACTTACTTAAGACCAACAGCCACAGAGTTGAACAGTGAACAACTTTTGTAAATGGACTAGATTATTTTTTTTTCAAGAGAATTTATTGTGCAGTTACTATGCTGCAGCATATTTTGATACTAAAAAAGCATTATCCCCTCATCAGATTGTATCTCATCTATGGGGAAAGACAAAACCAACCTACCCCCCAAACTATAGAAGTAAGTGTAAGAAGGTACAATTATAGGCACACAAGATGAATAAGGACAGAGTGGGGAGAGGGGGTGATGTTGGTTGATGTTAATATAAGTCGGTTGATTCTGACTCAGAGCGACCCTATAGGACAGAACAGAACTGTCCCACAGGGTTTCAGAGGCTGCAAATCTTTACAGAAGCAGACTAGAATATGTCTTAGACTTAAAACAACAACAACAACAACAAAACACAACAGTGTTGAATTTAACCTTCATTTTCTTTTTCAACCCCTATTCTGCCCTTCTCCTGGAGAAGAGGAGACTCAGGAGAGATTTGGTAATGGTCTACTAATATGTGAAAACTGTGCTTTGGAAAATAAATCAGACTTTTTTCTGTATGTCCCCAGCGAATGAAGTGACACAAAGACTTTACGAGTGTATAAGGAAAGACTTTCAAATAATTTAAAGAGAACTCTTGTGGTTGTTGTTGTTGTTAGGTACCATCAAGTAGGTACTGACTCATAGCAACCCTATGTACAACAGAACAAAACACTGCCTGGTCCTGGGCCAACCTCACAATTGTTGCCACACTTGAGCCCATTGATGCTGCCACTTGGCCAATCCATCTCACTGGGGGTCTTCCTCTGTTACTCTGACCCTCTACCTTACCAAACATGATATCCTTCTCCAACAACTGGTCCCTCCTGACAATCTGTCCGAAGTATGAGAGATGAAGTTTGGCCATCTTGGCCTCCAAGGAGCACTCTGGCTGCACTTCTTCCAACACAGATCTGTTGGTTCTTTTGGCAGCCCATGGTGCTTTCAATATTCTCCTCCAACACCATAACTCAAAAGCATCAATTCTTCTATGCTATGGTCTTCCTTATTCACTGTCCAGCTTTCACATTCATATGGGGTTATTGAAAATAACATAGCTTGGGTCAAGCTCACCTTTGTTCTCAAGCTGACATCTCTGATCTTCAACACTTTAAAAAGGTCTTGTTCAGCAAATTTGCCTAATGCAATACGTCCTTTAATTTTTGACTATTGCTTCCATGAGTGTTGATAGTTGATCCAAGAAGAATGAAGTCATTGACAACTTCAATCTTTTCTCCATTGATAAGACTGTTGTCTATTGGTCCAGTGGTGAGGATTTTTGTTTTCTTTACATTGAGATGCAACCCATACCGAAGGCTGTGCTCTTTGATCTGCATCAGTAAATATTTTAAGTCCTCTTTACTTTCAGCTAGCAAGGTTGTATCATCTGCATACCGCAGGTTGTTAATGAATCTTCCTCCAATCCTGATGCCATGTTTTTCTTCATAGAACCCAGCTTCTCGTATTATTTGCTCAGCATACAGGTTGAATAAGTCTGGTGAAAGAATACAATCCTGTCTCACAACTTTCTTAATTTTAAACCATTCAGTGTTCCCATGTTCTGTTTGAGCCACTGCCTCTTGGTCTATGTACAGATTCCTCATGAGCATAATTAAGTGTTCCAGAATACTCATACTTTGCAATGTTGCCCATAGCCTATCATGATCCATACAACCAAAAGCCTTTGCATAGTCAATAAAACACAGGTAAACAACTTTCTGATATTCTCTACTTTCAGCCAAGATCCATCAGACATCAACAAGGATATCCCACATTCCACGGCCTCTTCTGAATCCATCTAGATCCTCTAGAAGTTCTCTGTCAATATATGCTTACAGCTGTTTCTGTATTAGCTTTAGTAAAACTTTACTCACATGGGATATCAAATATATTATCTGATGGTTTCTGAATTCCATTGGGTCACCTCTCTTTGAGATGGATACAAATATAGATCTCTTCCAATTAGTTGGCCAGATAGTTGTCTTCCAAATTTCTTGTCAGAGATGAGTGAGTCCCTCCAGTGCTGCTTCACCTTCTTGAAAGTTTCAATTTTTATTCCATCAATTCCTGGTGCCTTGTTCTTTGCCAGTTCCTTCAATGTACTTTGGACTTCCACCTTCAGCATCACTGGCTCTTGATCATATGCTACCTCTTGAAATGGTTGAACATCAACCATTTCCTTTTGGTACAGTGACTCTGCATATTCCTTCCGTCTTCTTTTGATGCTTTCTGCATCATTCAATAATTTGCCTAGAGAATCCTTCAATAATCAGTTTTGACTCATAGCCACCCTGTATAGGGTTTACGTGGAGTGGCTGGTGAGTTTGAACCACCAACCTTGTGGTTTTCTGTCCAGTGCTTATCCTACAGCACCACACCAGGACTCAAGAAGAACTCTAGAGCTCTTCAAAGATCCAATGGGCTCTTTGGAAGCAGTGATCTAGATTACATAGGTGGAACATCCTCATCAGTGACAGTTGGGCAGGAATCAGCTCAAAGATGAAGGAATGGATTACAGGACACTTAAGGTCTCTTTCAAGACTGAAATTTCATTACTTTATCAGTGATAAATGAATTTCTATAAACATTTAAACTGACTGTGAAATTCCTGTCTTTATTAAAGTGGATTTTCTGCTGTTAAAATTTTGGGATATAATTTCTTCAACTCTGCATGTTACTTCTGGCAATTAATTGATAATAAATAATCCTCTCAAGATGTACTTTATTTCTTATTTGCTGTTTCTAGGTCTCCTGCCATACAGAAACTACAGCTTCACAATTACAGCTTGTACATCTGCTGGATGTACTTCAAGTGAACATTTTCTAGGTCAGACACTTCAGGCAGCCCCTCAAGGTAATGAAAACAAAACAAAACAAAAAAACAATGTCCAGGACTAAGGGAAGAGTCTTTATATAGCATTTTGAAGTAAATGCTGTAAAATTTCTCATAAGAAAGAAGGAATAAAGTTGATAGGAACAAAAATCAAAGAAAAAGTATTATAGGTTCCTACTTCTTGCTCAGTCTTCGTTGAACTTTACATCGCTTCCCAAGGTAAGTTTGATTTCAGTTCTTTAAACCTTTTAGATTTTGTTTTCTGTGGCAATCAATTATTGTCTGCTTATCTAACAAATCTTCTCCTACTACATAGCAAGTGCTTTGCTAGATACTGTAGTTAATTGAAATATCCCCTGCCTTTAAAAACTTACAATCAAGTTGATACGACAGGACAAGTACACCAAAATTATTTGAAAAGTCCGAATCTGAAAGGGAATGTTAAGAGAAACCAAATGAGCAGAATGTTCAGGTTAATCAGAAGAAGAGGAAATTGCAAAGGTTTTTATGTAACATGTGACTATTGAGATGGAGTATGAGGAAGAAAGATTTTGACACATGAACCATGGCAGTGATGTAATCTGAAACATGGCAAGGGGTGTAAAGTGGGACCATCTTATAAACAAGTTGGCAATGTCTATTAAAGTTAAATGCAAATTTAGCACGATACAACAGTTTCATTTTCACTAACTATGCCAGACAAAAAATACTTCCTCAACTGCACTAGGAGGCGTTTACCAGAACGTTTACAGAAGCATCATTTGAAGTGCTCCAGAAAAATGTTGGAGGCAATCTAAATGTCCATGAATAGGGGAATTGCTAAATAAATTCAGATGAACTCACATAATGGAAATCCATAAGCTAGTTTTATAAACTAAAATAGCTAACGCAATCATAAAGAAGAAATTATGTAATTTTCTACTCCTGTAAAGACCGACAGCCTCAGAAAGCCTATGCAGGGTCGCTATGAGTCAAAACCGACTCCATGGCTCACCACCACCACCACCACCATGACCATCTTTTATGTGGGGTCATACCTGAGGATTGCAAATGGTTAACAAGCTCAGCTGATAATGAAGTTGGTGTTCAAGTTCACCCAGAGGTGCCTCAATCTGCTCCCCAAATTCAGCCATTGAAAACCCTATGGAACACAATTCTACTCTGATACACATGCAGTCACCATGAGTTAGAATCAAAGAAATGATCAATTTGATTTTTTTAAGATTATATTTTATATATAAAAAGCACACAAAAATGTTAATCATTTTTATAAGTAAATACCTATAGTGTATAGAAAAATATCTGGAAGTATATAGACCAACTTTAAGATGAGAGCTAGGTTTGGATGGTACTATTTATTTAAAAATATAAATTATTGTGAATTGAGTGAAGGTTTACAGACAAGATCATCAGTTTTACATTCAGCAAATCTTAAACTTTGTTTCATCTCAATGATTGCAATCCCCTCCACTCTCCAACAGTTGTCTGGCTTCCTCCCTGTGATTACCCAAACTCATATATTTGTGGGATCGATACCTTTTACTTTCAGTGTAAAAATACACTCATTAGTTTGTACTGGTGATCGACTAATTATTTTGTTAGTTAGCTCTTGTTATCTACCTGTTTTTCATGTGGGGAAACTGAGGCATAAATACATTCCTAAACTGTGAATTTAATTGCCACAGTAGAGTCCTGAACCACTTGTCCATTACTCTTCTAATGAAAGGGATTGTTGCACCTCAGAATATTAGACCTGAAATTTCCTACCAGTAAATGGGGAATAAAATGGAAAATTCCACATATGGGGCATATGGCTCCTCACCAGGAATTCACTAATGATGTTTTCTATATAAAGAATGTTTCATGTCAAAAAGCTTAGTGTTCCTTTGAAAGGAAGAAACCAGCAGTGGATTTTTTGGAAAGGTAAACTATCAAATGGATACTTTGATGGTAATGGATAATTTCTAAAGGGTCTATAAACCAGTTCTGGCTAAAACTCAAACCTGATAAAATAACAGCATCTCTTCCTCTAGTTTACTCCACCAAATCCATATATTTAAATTCTATGAAAATAGGTATTCATTTTTCCACTTAGCCCAGCAAAATTTCTTGAAAGGGCTCATATTTTATAACTTAAAACTTACACTTTCAATGATACTTTATATATATTTTTCAAGGTATCATTTATAAATGCAAGGCAGAGTAAAGAAATGTCCTGGGTTTCTTTTTCAATGTTATACACCTTTCCTTTAACTCAAATAATATACAAAGAAACAGTAAATGAAATGGGCTTTCCTCTACATAAGAAACATCGAGTTAGAGTCTATTTTCTTATTAAATGTAATTTTGAATAACTGATATGTAAAATAAATTAAAAATTAGAGTTCTGGTGTAGCACTGTTAAGATAAGCACTGGACTGCTAACCACAACGTCAAACCCACCAGCTGCTCCACCAAAACCTTATCCAAGGTCATTCATTATGAGTCAAAACTGATTCCAGAGCACTTAATAACAACAACAAAATAAATATAATCTGAGTACTTAATTTGGGACTTGTATGGGGCTAAGCCAGCAGTGACATTAAGTTCTGTTGTTTTTCTGTAATGTAAAAAGACACATATCATTTCAAATGCTAACCCAAAATAATAAATTATAAAACTAAATTTCAAAGTGATTCAGACATAATTTGAAAGTCTAACATTTGACTGTCCTCATTGAATATGAAGAGAATTAAAGGAAACATTTCTTCATAGCTGTCCTGAAGACCATTCTTCTCATTTTCTAATTTTTTTTTTTTTTTAAAAAAGGTAATACACATTGCCGAGCCATTGCAAAGCTGGACAAAGATCTCTACAATTCTACCTTTAGTCAAAAAGTGAGAAGAGTTGGAATTGGATCATCACTCTCTCGGTTTAAAATCACTGTCATCCCTGAGAGGTCAGTTTCTTTTAGAAGTTGTTGTTGTTAGGTGTCATTGAGTCAGTTCCAACTCATAGTGACCCTGTAAAGCGCTTCTGAGGAGCGACTGGTGAGCTTGAACCACTGAACCTACAGTTTAAACCTACCTTGTAGTATAAGTATAGCACATTAACCCTCAGTGCCATACCCGGACCCCGTTTTAGAAGTTATACAAAATGGCAGTTATATTTTTCTCTATCATTGAAAACATGGAAAAGGAAAACAGATCTTTCTCAACTGTACTCCATATTTCATTTCTTTTAATCTTATTTCCATGAATTCTTCCTCCAATAACTTCATACATTCTCCCTTGAAATTATCTAGTACTGGCTTTAAATCCTACGTAACTATGAAATACGACAGCTCTAGCCAAGGCCACGTCATGCATGCCAGACCCTTGTATCCACTGGTCTACTGTTTTTGTTGTTTAGTGTCCTGTCAGTTCAACTCACAGCGACCCTTTATAGGATTTTTGAGGGGCAGCTGGTGGGTTTGAATTACTGATCTTGTGGTTAGTAATTTAGTGCTTATCTTACAACACCATACTTGGTCTACTGTTGTTGCTCAGTGACATTTAGTGGATTCCAACCATAGCAACCTTGTATAGGGTTTCCCAGGAGCAACTGTTGTTGCTGTTAGGTGCCATCAAGTTGATACCGACTCATAGCAACTTTAAGCATGAAACACTGCCCAATCCTGTGACAACCTCACAATCGTAGCCACACTTGAGCCCATTGATGCTGTCACTTTGCCAGTCCATCTCACTGGGGGTCTTCCTCTTTTTATCTGACCCTCAAGCCTACCAAACATGATATCCTTCTCCAGTGACTAGTCCCTCCTGACAATATGTTTGAAGTATGAGAGATGAAGTTTGGCCATCCTGGCCTCCAAGGAGCACTCTGGCTGCACTTCTTCCAACACAGATTTGTGTGGTGGAGGAGCAACTAGTGGATTTGAAATTCCAAACCTGAGGTCAGCAGTTCAGTGCTTATCCTATAGCACCACACGTATCTGGATATTTTGCTAATACTTCAAACTCACTAAGTATTTCAACACTTAAATCATTTCACCTCCTTCTCCACTGTGCCTTCAGCTTGCTCTTTTTCTTCATTCCCTCTCTCAGGCATCACCATTCATCTAATCATCTATGTATGCCTCAAGGTAGAATTATTAATGCTTCACTTTTCCTTAGGCAATAGTATGCAATGGGTCATAAAGTCTTACAATCTTTTAATTATTATTATTGTTATAATTATTATCTGTAGATATTTGGGGGAAATTCCTAACAATTATTTAAATTTATTCTAGAGACTTATTCTGTAGAATACATTGAAATTTACCTAAATATTGATGAAGCTTGATCATATAATTCTATGTCTTTTTTTTTTTTTAACGTTATTATTGTGAATTGAGTGAGAACACTGGTTTTACACTCATCCTATTGTATTTCATTTCATTGTAATGATTACAGTCCCCTCCACATGCATCATCATTCAACAGTATTTGCTTCTATTCCCTGTGGGTTTTTGGGGGGATGTATACAAAAACACTGAGGAATATTTAATCATTTAAACAACAAAAGGACACATTCTGCAAGCCTGCCTACTGGCTGCCAGCATACAGCCTTTCTCTTTCCATGAATCTAGAGTCTTCAGCTGCTCTCTCTCTCCATGTCCTCATCTCTTCCTCCATCTCTGGTGTCGCTGCTTCTCTGGATAGGGTCCAACATTCAGCTTGTGCTCTTCCCCCTTGATGCTCCTAGGGTCCTTTGTTGCTGGAATGTAAAATTGTCTACTACCCCCTTTTTGTTATAAAACTTCTACCTTTTTTAAAGTTCTGACAGTTGCAATTAGTCATGATAACAGCTACTCACTGTTGAATCATAAGAATCTCATCTGTATCTCCTTTCACTAGACCCATCTTTTGTTGTGAAGTGCCGTCAAGTTGATTCTGACCTGTAGCGACCCTGTATAGGGTTTCCAAGGAGCAGCTGGTAAGCTTGAACCACCGAACTTGCAGTTCAAATGACTTTACAGTCTGGCGCATATGCCCACAGCAACAC